CTTTTCACTTAATGATGCAGATCCAAAGCCTTAAGAGAACGTTTAAAAAATATATATATATTTATTCGATATTTTGCATTTGACACAATTACGTCTGAAACTACGCACCCTTCAATAAAAAATAAATAAATCAAGTGAGAGCAAGGCTTAGGATGATGAGGATCATGATTAGGGTTAGATGTTAGGTCATGGTAGGTCTGAATAGGTTTAAAACAATGTTAAGGTTGTTCTAATTTGGTAATTACCCATTCCTTAACCTGAACCTCAAATAAATGTTGTTTTTTTCTTGTAGAAGAGTACGTTACATCAAACAAAAGATTTATTAAAAGTTTAAATAATTTTAAACTGGCATTGAAAAATTAACTCCTTGGATTGCTGATTCCGAATTTTTTTTTTCAACTTTTTAAATTTTTGGAGTTATTTAGCTAGAAATTTTAGGTATGAAATAGCCCCTGAAGTGCTAGAATAGTCTGTTAAATGTTTCAATTATGCTGTAAACATTTATAACTTATTATTAGTTTCATTTGTTTGCTCAAAAAAAAAGCTATATTTTTTAGGTTGCATTTTTAAAATGTTGTATTTTAAAAATTGAAAAAAGTTTAATGTGCAAGCGTAATGACTAGAATCATGGGAATGCAGTTTTAGCGTTTATATTTACAAAGATCCTATAATGATGTTGAGGTTGTATTTGATTCATGTACTAAATATACTTATATATACTTATATATATGAATAATGCTTATATATTTTATGAATTTAAACGTGTAAGTAAAGTTAACTATTTTGCTACTTAAAGGACAAGGTGATAATTTTTTTTTTTTTTTAATCATTGATTTTTTATTATTGTATTTTTATTTTTTTTACGTCAATATAATAACATAACTTTGAAATCCATACATATTGAATAAAAATACTTATTGAAAAAACAAAATACGTATTGCGTCAATATATAAGATATTAAGTAACTAAGGTTAAATAGAGGTTTTAAAAGTAAATTAGAAATTGATTATAATCAAAACTGAATATGTGTTGTTTCGTTGCACGTTTAAGATTTAGAGTGGAAGTTATAGAGTTTAATATCTTCCCAGCCAGCAAGTTGTATTGCCCAAGTGGGCAGCTTTATGGGGCTTAAATGGATTGCCCACTTTAATGATAAACTACAACAGTTTTTATCGCATACTTTCTATATAATGCCTTCATAAAGTTACTATAACGTAAATATAGTTTTAATTAAGATCTCCATCTCGGAGCACATTCTTACATTTTCCCCTTCTTCTGTAAATAAAGTGTTTTACTGTTTGTGTTTTATAATGTTTTAATACTTCCTCCATTATTCTATAGGACGTCTTTCTCTGTTAGGATATGTCTTCAGAATCGGTTCTTGATGATAGCTTCTTAGTTGTGTCGGCATAGTAGCTGTTATTTCCTTTTCTGGCAAAATTGATTTGTTCTGGAGGTATTCTTCATCTTTCTCTTCTTCAATTGGTATCGGATTAAATTGTATATCCGTTGGTACTTTCTTCATGCGTGAAGCATTTCGAGTTTTTTGAGAATTGTCGACGGCAGATTTTGCAGTGATCATTGTACCATTCTTTGTGGTAATTGTGTAGGGTTTGAACTCGAATGGTGCCGTAATTTTGTTATATTTTTTTTGTTTTACCAGTACTGTATCCCCGATATTTAAACTTAGACTTTTTGCGTGGTATTTTAAATCGTGATATTTTTTTCTGTATAACTTAGCATTTTCTTGTCTCTTTTTGGCTTGATCATTGATTTTGTATCGACCCTTGTTTGGAATGAAGGTATTGTAAAACCTTTAACGCGATTAAACATGAGTGTAAATGGTGGTATTCGGGTTGTGCAACGGGGTGTGGTACGGTAGGAAAACAGGAAGTTGTATAATTGCTTTTTCCAGTCTTTCCGTTCAATGTGTGCTGCTCGTATTGTTTTAATCAGTGGTTTCATAAAGGATTCAGCTTGTGAGTTTGCTTGCGGTTAAAGCGGGGTGATTCGTTTATGTTGAAGATTCAGTTTGTTCAAAAACATCTTTATTTTGAATGAAGTAAAAGGTGGTCCATTATCGCTGACAATTGTTTTTGGTATTCCATATACTGCAATCGTTTTCTGTAGAAAATCAATAAGGAGGTCAGCAGATGTATTATGTATAACATCGACAACCGGAAATTTTGATGTTTGGTCTATAAGGACTACCAAATAAAATCCATTAGGTAAAGGACCAAGGTAATCTATATTAACGGTGTCCCAAACTTCCAATGGTGTTGGTGTGATTAATAGTTCGGCTGATGCATTTTGTTTATCAAGAGCTTTTCTTTAAGTAATGATTTGGTGTTCTCAAGTCCCATGTGACTATTATGAGCAAGCTGTATAACCTTAATTTCCAGAGAATGTGGAAGTACAATTCAATTTGCTTTTAGAATAAGGTCTGAAGTCTGATTTACTGTAAGTTCTTGGCGTATATTACGGTAAGCAAGTAAGTCTTTTTGAAATTTTTTTAGTTCTGGCGGACAATTCGGATCTAATAGTTTATGCCAGGTATTAGTAGTAATTAACTCTGTAAGTATTTGTAGAATAGGATCGACTTTAGTTTCTCTTTAAATATCCAGTAGTGATAGGGCTTTAGGACATGCGTATTCAGCTGTAAAATTGACATATTTTTCTAGTCTTTCGTCCTCACAAGAGTCTACAGGGTGTCGACTAGTATAATCAGATATATTATTTTTTCCTTTTTCGTAGTGTATATCAAAAGAATATCCCTGTAATTGTAAAGTCATACGGTCAATGCGAAGTGGTACTGTAGCGTTTGGGTTGTTTAAAATCTTTACAATAGCTTCATGGTCGCTGTACATTTTAAAAGGGTGTCCAAATAGGTATGTTTTGTTATGCTCGCAGGCGTATACTATAGCTAAACATTCTCTTTCGAGCGTAGAGTAGCGTTGTTGTACAGGCGATAGTGCTTTCGAATTATAAGATATTTGTTTAAAATCTTGTTTATTTGGAGTGTTTTGAACAATGACTGCCGATATGCCTACAAGACTTGCATCGGTGAAGACAGTAGTCTCTTTGTTGGGGTCGACGTATCCGACACATGAGTCCAATGTCATAGCGTTTTTTAGTTTGTCAAATGCATGCTGACACTCAAGGTTTCAGTTCCATAAGGAATCTTTATGCAGAAGGTTTCTCAATGGATAAGTAATTGTACTGTAGTGTAGAATGAAACGTTTAAAATAGTTCATAAGCCCGAGAAAACTTTGGAGAGCTTTAGTGTTTTCTGGTGTTGGCATGTTCTTGATATTATAAAGTTTTTCCGGATCTGGTTGCATTCCTTCTTTTGAAAATATAAATCCATAAAATTTGACTTTTTCTTTTCCAAATAAGCATTTTTCAAAATTTAGAGTTAAACCTCTCTGTTTAAATCTTTCTAATACTTTATGTAATATTAAATCGTGCTCTTTTGTTATCGAAGCGAAAATTAGAACATCGTCGGCAATGTTCAAAGTACCTTCTATATCTTTTAAAACTTCTCGTAAAGTGTTTTGTAGTTCCTCCTGCACGGAGTTTACTCCAAAATTAAGTCTTTTAAAACGTTTAATTTGAGTTTTGGATTGAAAAGTAGTTATTGATCTGGATTCCGGTGCAAGTTTGAGCTGGTGAAATGCCTTCATTAAATCTAGTTTCGAGAAAACGGCGTAGTCTTTTAGTTTTACAATAACATCGTCTAGGGTTGGAGTTGGAAAACGCATTCTTCCAATAGCTTTGTTAGCTGCTCGCATGTCTACGCAAATTTTTAGGTTGCCGTCATTTTTTGGCACAATTACCATTGGACTTATCCAAGGTGTCACTTCGTCTGTTACCGTTTCAATTATTCCTTCTACTTCAAGTTTTGCAAGTTCAACTTTACCTTTTCTCTAAGTGCAAATGGAATTCTTCTTTCTCTTTGTGCGACTGGTAGTATACTTTCATTAATTTTCAATTTTACTTGGTAGTTGAAGAGTTTTCCTATTTTGCCGCTAAAAACAATTTGTGTATGAGTTTATAAGTGATTCTAATCGTTTTGGAGCGTTTAGAAGAAGAGTATTGTTTAATTTGCTTAAGTTCTGCAAAGAATGGCAAACTTGTTGTTTACTGTCGTCATGGTTATTTTGTTCTCTTTGGCATTTGTTTAAAAGTTTCCTATTGACGTCAATATTCAGTTGTATTAAACCGAGTAACTTAGCGTCATTTCCAGATAACAGATTTTTGTGGTGTGTTTTAACCACGTGGAATGTGGCCTGAAGAAATTTGGTTTGACTTTTTATCACGACATTGATCTGTCCTTCTATTTTGAGCTTTGGATTGTTATCCCCGTAAGTAATAATCTGTGTTTTAGATTTTTGTAGTCGAAGTGGTTTTTTAAGGAAGCTGTTTATCTTTTCAAATGTTTTAAAGTTTAGAATGTTTATCGAAGCTCCCCAGTAAGCACAGGACGTTTTTAAAACGTTCTATTTCCGTTCAATTTACGGTCGGATGTTAAAAGAACCAATACAATCGTTTTTAAAACGTTTTTTTGCAAACGTTTTTTTTAATGTTAATTTAAACGTTTATTTAGCGTTTTTTAAACGTTTTATTTTTTTTTATTAACTTACGAAATTTCTCAGTTAGCTTATGAACGTTTTTAAAACGTTTTTTTAACGTGATAAAAAACTTTTTTTAAACGTACAGCACGGCAATATTTAAAAGAGTATGTTTGCTCAAATAATGGCGTGACCTTCGATTAGGCGAATTGATTTATTTAAGTAAAAATTATATAAATTAGTATATATTTAAATCAACCAAGTGTTTGTATTGTTTTTTTGTAGAATTAAATTTGAAAATATATTGGAGTATTTTTAGTTTAAAGTTGTATGCCTTCGTTGAAACTAGGTTGTGTTTGTATTTCTGTATTTTCTTCTTTAACTCTAAATGTTAAAAATAATATCAGTGGTTTTTATAAAGGAATTACTATAGTTAAAAAAGGCTGAAAGGAAAAAATATGATGATTTGTTTCAAGAAAGGGAGTGACTTACTTCAAAATGTCATTTTAAAATTTTTATTTTTTAATGATATTCTGGTGTTATTACCAAATGTTTAGCAGTATGAAACCTATAATATTATATACCATACTATATAGCCTATTTTACTTATAAAGTTAATAATCTGTAAAGTAATTTGTAAAAATTTTTTAATTGTAAAATTGCTACATGAGAAGACAAGTTGTTAGATGAAATTCAAATATTCTCTATGTTTGTGTTGTGTAGGTCAAAAAATAATAAACAAAGATGATATTGATTGTAATGACCAAGAGATTCATTTTAAGACACATCAATCTTCATCATCTTTAAATAAAAAGGATAAACATTATGGATTTCCATTATCTCAAGCAAGTAAGTCTTTAGTTAAAAATAATAATGTAATGTTTGTTGTAAAATGCTAACATGACTGTTAATATTAAAAAATATCATTAAAATGATGAGGTTCCAATTTTAACTTTAAATAATCACCTTCATGAAATCCATTATTTCAATATTATTAAAACTATAAATTTATAGAACAATCTTTCTTGTCTAATCCGAAATCTGAGAAAAATGCTAATATATATAATACAGCATTGCCACTATTAGGTATTTTACTGTCTACTAGTTTTTCTCTGATTTAGGCTTAGACCAGTAAAGTTGTTAAATTGTTAAATTTATGTATTTTAAATTTATTTACGTAGTTTAGTTAAGACAATGTAAAATTTAATTAGTGTAAATTTGTTTAGACTTTCAATATTATGTGTTGCTTCTCTTAAATGAGATAGAAACCCAAGGATACAAAAAACTTAATATAAAATAGTGTGAAGAAGAAGTAGTAACTGAAATGAACAGCATAATAAAATTTGATAAGTTTGACTCAGCACTTGACAATGTTTCATCTAGTAACTCAGTAGTATCTCTGCAGTTGTAAATTGCTAAATACTGATTTGACAGATTTTTCTTTTTTTTTTTAATTTTCTTTACAATATATAATTTTTACTACTTAATTAGGAATTGTCAGATTTCCATTATTTCTTTCTATTAGAAACAAAGAGTTCAAAATATTAGTGGTAAGAACTGTCAAAAACTTGTGATAGCTATGATGAAGAGGTTAGTAAATTAAAAGTGCATTCCTATAAATACTCTGTTTAATTTTATAGTGATATTACTCCCATCTTACAATCCATTATACAAATCCCATGCATGGCTCTACGTTAGCCGTTTTACCATAATGGGATGACTGAATAACCGTGAATTTCATACGCGCAAACTAGCACATGTGCGAAGCAGTTACAAAAACTGGCACAATGCCAAATGGCATAAGTGCAAATGGGCATAACTGCACAAAAAGAATTCCAAACATTGGCATAATTGCAAACTGCTATAAGTGCAAACTGGCATATGTGTAAATTGGTATAAGTGCGCTAAATAGATTTACAAACATTCGCATAAGTGTGAATTGCCATAAGTGGGAACTGGTATAAGTGTGAAGCAGTTGCAAAAACTCGCAAAAGTGCAAACAACATAAATGCGAACTGGCATAAGTGTGCCAAATAAATTTGCAAAATTTAGCATAATTCCAAACTGCGAATTTATTACACGCATTTATGTCAGTTCGCACTTCTGCCAGTTTTTGTAACTGTTTTGTACGTAATCAAATTTTGCACTTATGCCTATTCGTATTGTTTGCTAACCTGTTTGGCCCACTAATGCCAATTTACACTTTTACCAGTTTGCAAGTTTAAAGTGGTCAGCTTGTCTTAAAGTGCCTTAAATCCATCGTTATAATATTACTTTGTTTGTAAATTGTTTTTAAAAATAAATTTAAAAATAACTTTTAAATAAATTTTTTATTTTTCTTGTTTTTTAAACCAACAGGTTCTTTTAAAAACAATTTAATAATAGTACCTATGGATTTGGGTATATTTTCTAAAAAATAACGTCTTTTAAAAGTTTAAAAGACGCCTAAATTATGGTTTTATTTAGATTGTTTTTTAAACGTTTTTTTTAAAACGTTTTTTAAACGACTTTTTCAGAACGTTTTTTAAACGATTTTTTAAAAACGTTTTTTAGGTATTGCCATTCAGAACGTTTAAAAAACGTTTTTTTTCTTAGTTAAAAAAGCGTTTTAAAAACGTTCATGTGCTTACTGGGTCCGGTGTCTATTAGAACGGTTATTGGTATATTTTCATGTTATTGGTATGTTAATCGTTACCTCGAAGTTCTCAAGTCCGTTGTTAGACATCTGTTTACAGAGTACAATTCTCATTCGTTTAACTTTGACTGAGGATTTTCGGATTCATTGATATCTTTGTAAATTGTATTTAATGGTTTCGTATAACCTTGTTCATTTCTTTTGATTTTGCTCTTAGATGTATTCTTGTATTCGGTTCGTTTTGTTTTCTATTTTTACAGACTGTTTCAAAATGTCCGATTTTCCCGCAGGAGTGGCAAGATTTCCCCAAAGCTAAACATATATTCGTGTGTGGAAATTCGTTTCCACATCGCTAGCAAGTTCTTTTTAGCGACTTTTCTGTCTCATGTGGCGCTTGACTGGTTTGTGGAAATTTTGTTTTCTTTACTATATTTACTTCTTTTTGTTTTATCGTTTCTTTCTCAAGTTCTTCTATTTGATGGTCCATCTACTCAAATGTTTTGGCAGTAGTTAACAAGTCCTGTAGAGTTTTGTTAGGATTTTGGAAACTGTATTTCCGTAGTTTTGAAATATTTGTGCAAAGCTCAATTTGTTGTTTAATTTCTTTATTCTTATCAGCAAACTCGCATTTGATAGCTTGATCGTTTAATCGAACGAAAAACTGCTGAGTGGTTTCGTCTATACGTTGAGCCATCTTGCGAAAAATAAAGATTTCGTAGCTCAGGTTTACTTGGGGCTTGAAATGTTCGTTAAAAGCTTCGACAGCTTGTTGTTGGTATGTGATTAGAGCGTATCTTGAGGTATAATGTTTTCATAAATTTCGTAAGTGTTATCTCCAATTAAAGTTAGAAGTAACGAAAGTTTTTGTTTATCGTCTGTAATTACAAATGAATCATAAAGTTGCTCAAATCGTTTAATGTATTGTTTCCAGCTTGAAAATAACTTACTTGCTTCTTTAGTACATGAAAACGGTGGAAAGTTTGGTAAATTAAGGTTTTTTATAGCCATGAATAAATACGCTTTTTACTAGAATCTTCGATAATTTTTTTTATTATTTTAAATTTCTTTTTTTTTATTTTCGTCGCCAATTTAATAACGTAGTACAACTATTGTTATCGCTTATTTTCTATATAATGCCTTCATAAAGTTACAATAACGTAAATATAGTTTTAATTAAGATCTCCATCTCGGAGCACATTCTTACACCCACATCCCGCCCAATGAAAATTGTTGCAGGACGTGAATTGGGGCCCAAGTAGGCAGCCCATAAGGGCTGCATACTTATAAAAAAGTGGGACCCACATGGGTCCCACTTTTTTATTTATCTGAATTTTTTATAATATTTTGAATAATAATTTTTTTATTTTTAATTAGATACATATAATTGAATATGAAGTCCTAAATGTGTCACGTGAGTCTATCTTTATAGAAGCAAAACAGTAAATCAAACATAGATAGAATAATGTAATCAGTAATAAACATTTTTATATATATATATTTTTTCTTTATAAAACAATAAATTATATACAATTTTATAATTTTATACGATCTCAGGTAACCATTACAATCAAGAAGTATTACAGATGTTTTTTGAATATATAATATAGATAGTTTACAAGTGTTTTTATTTATTTATATTTTATTTACACTTTTATTTATATACATTTTATTTTTGTGTTTTAAAATTTTATATTTTTTTGTTTTTTTTTGGTTATATATTTTTTTGTATTTTTTATTAATTTTAGCCGTTGTGCGGAGAGATGTCAAAAACTTAGTAAGGTTTAAAAAAGATAATGTACATATTAGAGTATTTTGAATAGAAAGACTATATTAAAGAAAAAATAAATAGGTAACAAAGAAATTTACAGGACTTTTACACAAATGTCACTTTACAATCTCTACATATAACACCTATTTGTTAAAATAATACTTCATAAAATAAGGGCTGGCTGTGATTTTCCAATCATAAACAACAACATTTTTGCTGTAAAATACTTCGCAGAGAACAGGAGGTCTTAACTAAACATTCAGTTCTGATTTATGAGCCAGTGTATTAATTTAGCTCATATTTTTTGTTTTTGTTTCCTATTTTCTACTTGGCAAAACACATTATTAATACAGTAAAGTTGACAGAAAATGTCCGCAGTGTTTCTACGGACATGATAATTATATTTTAAAGTAACAATATTTCTAAAGTTCCTACTTATTACTCTGATCACTGGGTAATTTTTGATGTTACTAATCGTGTAGTGGCTACTTATAGTAGCATTTATAAATATCCCACATGGTGGTCTTATATGTGTAAGAATATTGAAACTTAATTTAAATATTTTTATACATTAAAAAAACCTCTGTAAGACCTGTCATTTTATTTACATTTTTGCTTGTGGGTTTATAAAAATTCAAATAGCGTAAACACATCAAAAACTTTTTATACATAAAAAAAAAATTTCAAATTACGGAGTCTTTAAAATGATTTGACTTTAAATAAAAAGAAGATTTTTCGAAAAAAAGTTAATTTGAATTTAGTTTCAAATTTGAGAAAAGCTTTGTGACGTAATTACATTTGAGAAACGTAAAAGGGTTTTCATAAAATAAGTTCAGTATTGTGACTTATACTCTTCCAGCTAATTGCCTAGCGGAGTATCTCATAACATCGCGCGCACGATCGGATGGCATTTAAATTTAGAAAATAAGAAGGAATTTAACGCTTTTTTAAATTCATATAAGGGTCCTTGAATACCAAATTTTCACTTTTTTAACTACATATATGGGCCCAAAATGGGCCCCTTGTGAGCTAGCCCTTGAATACAAAATTTTTTATTCAAGGGCTACCCCACATGGGGCCCATTTTGAGACCATACATAAAACCTACATAGGGCCCACTTGGGCAAACCCATATAGGCCCCAATAGGACATATTTGCTGGGACTTAGTTTGATATTTGTGGTTTATAGAAATAAATTGATATTCGGAAGTGTTTGGTAGTAGTAGATTCTTTAACTTAAACATAAAAAGTAATATGTTAAGAATATTTACTTCGAAGATATTAAGCATTCCAAGTTCTCTTAGTAGAGATTTGGCACTGGTGTACCTGTTTGCGTTTAACATTAAGGTGCATGCATGTTTTTGTTTTTTTTTAAATTGTATTAAACTGTGTTGGATATGTACTTGCCCAGATTATGTTACAGTAATTGATGCAGCTATGAATAAAAGAGAAAAAAATATTTTTTAAACAAGTTGTATTAAGAAGATGCTTTGATTTATACATAATTCCGATAATTTTAGATATTTTCTTTTCTACTTTTTTGATATTATTACTCCAGCTAACTCTTTCATTAAGAATTACACCTAAAAATTTGATTGAGTATTCTCTTTTAAGTTTAGTTTTGTTGATAAGCAGTTCAGAAAGTTTTATGGGGAGGTTGTCTGTACCAGAAGATTTTGTAAAAAGAATATATTTGCTTTTTTTTACGTTTAACGAGAGTTTGTTGCCCTTAAACCATTCATTTAGATTTTCTAGCTCTTGATTAACCGTATTAAACATAAAGTTAATGTTTTTGTGGCTAAAAGATTCTTGCGTATCGTCAGCAAAAAGAACAAAGTTGAGTTTATTGGTAGATGAGAAGGTATCATTAATATAAACAAGCATTTATATCAATTAATAAAATTTAAGAACATATATTTTTATTTTTTTTACAACTATATTGATAAATTATTTATTTATTGACAAAATACTTACAAAATACAAATACAAATACATATAGTTTAGAAATAATGGTAAATTTACCATATTTCCCAGCGGGCACGGACGTAAAAAAGACGTCTTTTAAACGTCTTATACACGTTTTAGACGTCTTTTGAATGTCTTTTGATAGTTTTGGACGTCCTTTGAACATTCAAAAGACGTCTTTTTTTGGTCCGGTGTCCACTGGGTTAACCAGATGTGAGTGTCAGTTGACGGACATATCAGACAAAATGCATTAATTATTTTAAATTAAAACTAAAAATTATTTCCTTAATTTAAATATAAGGAAATTTTCCTGAAAATTTCATAATCGTTGCACCTTTAAAATTTTGAATTTAGATAAATAATCTGTGTGTGGCAAAAATTTCAAAAATTAATAAACTGTAACAGTCAACTTCCTACCACCAATACAGGGTTGCCATCTGGTGTTTTTTTAAGCCAGATTTCTCAAATCTGGTTGTTTTTTTTTCGTTTGGCTTGGAACTTTTGTTTTGGTTTATTTTAGAAAATCTGGTTTAAATCTGGTTTATTTTAAAGTCTTTGGTCTTTTTTTGTTTTCTCTGATATGTTTTTTAAAATCTGGTTTAATTCTGGTTTATTTAATAATAAATCAATTAAATTAAGTTTTTGTTTCATGAAAAAAGTTAATTTGAGGGAAAGAAAGATTTCCATTTTTTCATTTTATAGAAGAACAATCAAGTTTAAAATAAATGGAAGAAATGCTTACATTAAAATCTTAAAACGTTAAAAACTTTTACTTGTAATGTAATTAAAATGTTGTTTTTATCCCTTAATTGCCAAAAATATAAAAAAATTCTTCCATTCAAAATGACATTTTTTTGTGAAAAAATTGTTTATAATATATATTTTTTCAAAATATATATTATAAACAAGGCTTTAAAACAAAAAATTATGATTTTTTCTTTTTTTTTTTGGTCTG